TTTCCTTCGGAATTTCTTCCCAATAATTCCTCCAGAATTTCTTTTGGATGATTTCTCCAGAATTTCTTCTCAAGAATTTCTCCAGGATTATTTTAGCATGCTTCAAGAATTTGTTGTCGAGAAATTCTCCATAATTTCGTTTAGAGAATATCTTCAAAATTTCTTCTAAATAATTTTTCCAAAATTCCTTCTTAAGAATTTCTCCACAGTTTCTTCTGGCGAGTTTCATCAGCATTTCTTATGACAAATTAACAAAAATTTCTTCGGAATTTCTTTTTGATACTTTATCCGGATTTCCTCCCGAATTTCCTTTTAATAATTCCTCCAGAATTGCTCCGGAATTTCTTTCTGAGAATTTCTCTAGAGTTTCTTCCCGAAAATTTATCCAGAATTGCTTCTCGAGAATTTTTCCAGAACTCCGTTTCGAGAATTTATCAAAATTTTTCAAAGAGCTATTTCACCGAATTCAGTAGGAAAAGTTAATCAAAAAAAAGTATGGAGATATCCCGTACGAAAATTTTCAATTAAAAAACCCTAAAGAATTCTATAGGAATTTCTATAGACTTTCTATAAGACTTCTATTAAATTTTCTATACATTTTTTTCCGTTTCTTTTGACGTGTTCGATAGGAAATTCTATAGAAAAAGTTTATAGAATTTCGTTGTCTATAGAATTTTTTCCGCTCAAATTTTCGAAGTTTTTTCATTCGATTTTTTTGAAGAGAAGAAAATAAAAAATAACTCAAAAAAACTTAGAAAATGTGAGTGAGAAAAATTCCATAGAAAAATGAAATCCTATTGACTTTTTTTTTCTATTGACAATTTTCTATGTAATATTTCCTATCGAACATGTCAATAGAAACGACAAAAAACGTAGTGAAAATCCAATAGAAATTCTATAGAAATTCCGTTTTTAGGGTTTCCTCTTCGAAATTTTAGTACGTGATATATTTCAAAACTATGTATGCAATTTCTCCCCCCCATCTTATAAATGGCCACCTGCCCCACAAGGTGCACATGAGGAATTCAAATGAATTCACAAGGAATTTCCGAGGAATTTTCCATGGACTACTTATGAATTGCCCAGGAATTCATATTATATTCATATTATTCATATTATCACGTATGAAAATGTTCTACAGAATTTCCTATAGGATTTCCTATGGAAAATGCTATGGAGAATTCGAACATTTTCTATAGGATTTCACATAGGATTTTTCCTATAGGTTCCCATGGGGTTTCCTATAGGAGACCGATTCAGAAAAATCCTATAGAAAATCCTATAAGAAATCCTATAGGAAATGTTCGAATTCTCCATAGCATTTCCTGTAGAATTTTCCATAGGAAATGCTATAGAAAATTTTCATACATGATAAATTTCATCACTTATTATGTTATATGTACTGTATATACGAAATCATATGATTTTTTGACCTTCAATATTTAATTAACCCCAACTTCCTATTTGACCCTTGGGCTCTATTGAACGCTTGGATCTGAGTGTTCGGGTCTCATAACACTCTTTTATACCTTGGTAACAATCTGACCCTTATGAACCTCAACTATTAGGGGTCATCGAGACTGGCTAAAATTTCAAGTCCTCATGGCCACGGCCATGGAACGGCCATGGCCTGTGTCGTACGTGATAGGAAATATATTTCAAAAATATGTATGAATATTCTCGACCTCACCTTATCCATGGCCACCCACCCCCCCGCCGGCCATGCCCGCACGGAAAAGAGTATAAATGCGACATATTTGTCAATTTTAGGTGATCAAATATATTTTCCGTATATATTACACATATGTCGCATAAAAATATCCACATATATGTTTTTCCGCGGTGAGCGATGAGCGTCAACGACCTACATTTCAAAAACATAAATAAATATTACCGCCCTTCTGACCCTGAATGTCGCCTGGATCTTGGCGTTCTTTGAATTCCTGCCCCCACCCCCCCTAATTTTTTCCATTGATTGCAAAGGATACATGTGAAAAATATACATAGTATAGGAATATGTACTAAGAAATATATATTAAAAGGATATATAAATATTGTCACCCCCACCTCATACAGGATCGCCCCCCTGACCGCGCCTGAATTTTCACCTCCCCTCATTTTTGATGTAGAAAGATATATGCATATATAATGTTGGTGATATAAGAATATATACTAAAAGAAATATATTAAACGTATATATCAATATTGTCACCCCCACCCCATACAGGGCCCGTCCCGGCCCTGAAAGCCGCCTGAATCGTGGCAGCCTTTGAATACTCCCCCCTCCCCTCCCCTAATTTTTAAATCATAGAAAGGGATATATATGAAATATATAGATGGTATAGGAATATGTACTAAAAAATATATATTAAAAGGATATATAAATATTATCACCCCCACCCCATACAGGGCCCGGCCCGGCCCTGAACGCCGCCTGAATCTTGGCGGCCTTTGAATACCAGCCCCCCCCTTTTTTTTATTATAGAAGCGGATATATGTAAAATATGTGGAATATGTACTAAAAAATATATATTTAAAGGATATATAAATATTATCACCCCCACCCCTTACAGGCTCACCCCCCCCTGACCCTGAACGTCGCCTGAATTTTCACCCCGCCCCCCTCGCAATCCTCATTTTTTATGTAGAGATATATGTATATATAATGTAGATCTCAGTATATCATCAATATATCATTAGATACTGGAACATATATGATGATAAAATATAATAATATTCTCACCCCTCAACCATACGTGNGAGTCTACAAATTTTATCGGATGATTATTATGTAATTTTAGCGATCTTCACAACATATCGAAAAGGATACTTTTTATAAGATTTTCTCCGGGTCTTTACTACCCAATTTTCTAATATATTTACCATCGCTTATAATTCTTAAATTACTTATGGGAATGTTTGGAATTTGAGGAATTCTCATTAGTTCTAGTGGTGAAGTAGAAATAAAAATTAGAGGTGGGTAAGTTCATTGAAGAATCAGCTCAATTTTTTCTTTTATAATGTCATTCTTTATTTCTCTTATTGTTCCTAAAAAAACGAAAAACAATTACACGCGTGGGATACTTTTGTACACCGACACTTTGTGCTGGCTCGGTTAAGATTACGTACACTATTAAGTTACTCCAAGTATTCATTATTTATGGAAAATAACATCGAATATATCGATCGCTACTTATTTTAAGACTTTTTTTTGCAAAAGTTATGAAGATCTAATTATTCAAAATCAATTTTCATTTTACTAGTAGATCCCTTGCAAAATAATTCTTTACATGGTGGTATTTCATCTCCAATTGCTCTAATTTATCACGAATTTCCCATCAATCATTATTAACAACTTGATTGAATAAATAAAGAATTGGTGAAATAGTTTGAGTTCTTACGATTTTTTTCAGACATTGAATTATTTTTGTAATTATCGATTTTAGGAGAGAATTTTAAGATGTTTTTTTGTAGACAGTGGAATATTGAACAAACAATCGTTTACACCATTTTCTCCTGAAGTTTCGTATAACTACAACAAAAAAATCGATCCCCCTCGAACCATTTTACCACTTCTCCACTAAAAGAAGCAATTTCCATTTTTAAATAAATAAATATTTTCATCACGCTGTGACGAAAAGTGAACTTTTTGGCACGCTCCGCGTGCCTAGAAGTCCAATTTCCGCCACATTGTGATGAAAAATATTGTTCGTAACTCGTGAAAAAATGTTTTTTAGCTCGTGGGATTATATCACTCGCCTTCGGCTTGTGATATAAACCTCCCACTCGCCAAAAAACACTTTTTTCCACTCGTTACGAAATATACTATTCTTCATTCGCTATCTGAAACTCATTCGTCTCATAAAAATAAACCATCGAGCCATTTTCATCGAGATATCCGAATAGGTGTTGTAGCTTGCTGATGATCGTAGTGAAAGTTTTTTCAGACAAAAGAGATAGATTGTTTGAACAATTGGCAGTCGATGATAGTCAACTCTCTCCTATTTAAGTTTTATTCAGCCCCTACAATTGTATGAATGATCAGATGAACACTCATTCTGCCATATGATCAAATCAAATTCATCAAAATGCTAAAATGTAAAACTTCAATACATGGTTTTGTTGATTACGCGGTAATTTAAGAAAAAGAACCAAATTCTGGATCGAAATGCTAAGATATCTCTCTGGAATTGGAGTTATTTTCAACGAAAAGCGCTTTGATATTTTTCATCACTAGGCCCGGTTAACGACGATTTTAAATCGCGATTTTCGGGCCCAATAATAAAAAAAATTGTTCGATACACGGCCGTGAAGAATTTTTCCACCTCATATAACAGAACTCTGAAACTCAGAAACTCTCCTGCGGTTCGTCTTGTGTAATCTCCTATTTGTTAGAAAAGTTCTTCATGGCCTAATGTCGATATATACTACATTCCAAGAACCACCCATTCTCTAAACGTAATGAGATGAGTTGACGCAATATTTCTTTTATTGAATACGCAAATATTTCTTTTATTGAAGAAGAAAAAAATGTTCGCTCTCTTTAAGGATGTGATTAGCACAGTATTATCGCTCCTCTCAATCACATTGTATCTATGGAATTATGCATTACCATTGTATTGCATTTATTTCCTTAACATTTCTATATAAGTGCATATATTGCAATGATTCAAAATAATATCTATTCGGATAAGATCATTGTTCAAATTTCGGGTCAAACTCATTCATCTATCCTCATAATAAAATTTAGTGTACTTAAATACACTTTCGACAAATTTCATAAAAACAACAAAAAAAAGTCGAACACAAGAAGTTTATAAATGTTGTTGCGAATAAAAACTAAAAACAGTATCGAATGTATAAACGCAATCGTTCAATTGTTCAACATTTAATTCTCCTAGAGAAGAAATTTTGAGAAAAGTTCTTCTTTATCATGATTCATTACTTGATTGATTAGTTTCATTGATACAATTTGCGACGATAAAAAAGAAAGTTGCACCTTAAAAGTCGCTCAAAGTATTGCTTTAATCGATTATATTTACACATTTTCCATTTATCTCAATTCCCACCTAACATTCGTACGTCGAGTATACAATTCTAAGTTACAAATAATAATTTTGCTAATGAAATATGATTCCATTCTGCTCTTGTTTTTCACCTACAACCATTAGATTAATTAAAATTCAAAATACGTTGAAAAGTAGTTCTGTACTCCCACTTCGGATGAATTAGAGAGGTTACCTCTCCTCTCAACCCACAATAATTGATTGCAATTATTTTCCTTAAAATTCATCGATTAATCATAGTATAATATTATTTCCTTCTGTGTTACACTTATACCCATGATAAACGGGTAATTGAAGCACAATCACACTTTTTACTACATTTTTTCGTATCTTTTCAGTTAAGAATAAAAAATTATAGTGTTGGTCTCTTTGTCTTTGTCACACAGTAAATACGGGATAATTAACATTGTGTTTTGTTCCTTGCCACTAAGTTGCTAAGTTTCTTTTCAATGGTGAGGTGGTTTCTAATCGTCTTCGGGGGCTGCTGTGAAGTCGTAATCCTCTGTTGCCATATCTATCGCCCATTTGAATTTGTCACGCTGGGTTTTGTTGTAAATCTTTTCAATTGGTACTCCATATTTCTTACACCTGTAAAATAATTGAACAAATCAATATTTATAGTCGAGTAAATTCACAACAAAAAATATCATTTCTTATTATGCATTTCTACTGAAAAAATAACATAACGAGAGCATTATTCAAATGATAAAAATTTCTCAATGTTTTTCATGAAAATAATAATTTTTACCAGGCAACAGAAATTCTAGGATCCAAATAATTCAGCTTAGAGGTTCCCAATGCAATGGTTTTGTTCTCCTCCCTATCAGTCTCCTGCACCTCAAGCTTGGTTAACTGCTCCTTTAGCCTTTCCAGCTGCTTCTTCTTCTTATCATACAGTGCTTTTCCGGTAACAGAGCCCCCTTTTATCTCCCTCTTGGCGTCCTTCACCGCAGCCTCGGCCTCCTTAATGGCTTCCTTCTTCGCCTCGATCTTTCCCTTCAGGTTCTCCATGGTTTTAGCATGCCCCTTGGGTACCGAACGCTGATGGTTACATAGAATAGCCACAGCTCTATTAGCTCGATTGTAAGACAACAATTTTTCAGCAATAGAGTCATCCGGATTTGTTAGCTTTTCCAGTTGTTGCTGAAGAGTGATGGAAGCATTATAAGTCCTGAAAACCTTGGCTGTGAGACCATCCATCAATTCATTAAGATGTTTATTGAGATCAGTTGTTGTGATTCTATCAAACAAATCATCTCCAGCTGATTTATTCTCCATGAACAACTCTAGATTCTTGAACACACGTTTCTCAACAGGAACTTTATTATAGTACCTAATCGAATCTTTACCAAGAAAATCGAAGACAACTACGTATTCTTCATCATCTTTCTTCTCATGCAAAGAAATATGTTCGATTCTCAATGAGCAACAACCAACAGTGTCAGCCTGATCTTCATCCTTTTCGTTTCCAGCTCTGAGGGCCAATTTATCAATGAAGTATAGAGCAACTGCTCTTTGCCTCACTTTCATCTCTTTACTCTTCCAGTCCTCTCGATATTTCTTACGAATGTTATCGATTAAACTTGCAAGTCTCCTGGCAGTGTTGTACTTGTCCATGTCCTTTTGGCCTTTGAGTTTACTCGAAGGATTCAGCATAACGTATTTCACCTGTCCCTGGATGTTCTCGTTCCAGGAGGCAAGCCACGTCACTCCGGGGTCGTGACGAATTTCCTTCCACTTGTGACCTGATGGAGGTTTTGGAAATTTCGAGTCTTTAGAACAATTGATGATGACGTCCTCTGGGAGAACTCGTTTCTTCAATTTTCCCATCTTCGGGTGCTCCCCTCGACCTCTGAAGAGACCTGGAGGCTCAATTCTAAAATTTCCAATCTTCTCCGGATGACCATCGATCGTGCAGATACCATATTCTTTTTGGATCTCTTCGTTCTTTTCTTTTATTACTTTTTTCTCCTCTTTTGACATTTGTTTTCGCTCTTCCGACTTTAGGTTAAAATACTCGTGCATCGGAGTAAAGTTGCATTTGGAAAGGTCCATGATTTTTCTGCGTTCGTCTTCGGTCATTACTTCACGCCAATCGTGGAAGAAGTTGTCGTTGAATACTTGCTTGGTTGTGTAGTCGTGGTTCAACATGCGCGCGTAGAAAGTTGCTACTTCTTCTGTCTCTGGAGAGAGCTTCATTTCCTTTCCATTGTAGCAGAATTTTACATCAGGAGGAAGGGGTTCATAATCAGGGGCAAAGACTGGACCCTTGTGCTCCAGGAAAGTCCATTTTTTACCGTCCTCTCGGGGTTTTTCTTCCCACCTGAATTTGAAAAATCATTAAATATTCGTAGTGGGGAAATGGCAGAAATTTATTATTCATCAAATCTTGGAGTGGTAAAACATGATCAGCATCAAGTGACATGTTTGCTAATCATTAAATTATTTCGAAAGTAAATGGTTTTACGAATGAATGCTGAGAAACATTTTGTTTAGGACATTTTGAAATCTACAAAAGTAGCATCCCAACAGTTTCTATTTTTTATTTTATGATAAAAACCCTGGGTTGTCGAGATAATGTGGGGAGATCCAAAAACTATTTCAAATCACCTTTTCATTGAAAATTGTATTATTAAAAATAATATGTATATCCAGTAAAGAAACACATTTTATAGTTTTATAGAGCCCTGTATTAAAATAGTGTAACGCACTCGTCGATGAATGTAATTTTTTAAAAAACGATTTTCACCTTCGTCAACAATGACCATCTAGTACTTTTACGTACTATTTCTTCTTCTGAAAATGGCAAAACATATGTAATGCCGTTTGACTATTCCTCTACCAAACTAGTAATACATAACCTCAATAATAGACTCCTTTGACGCTTACAACGTAATTCCCTGCAATTTCTTATGAATTCCACACTAAATATACGAAATAAACCCCCTGTATTAAACCGAATCCTTTTTTGCATGCTTTTTTAGTTTTCAATGCTTCTGACATGATTCGCCAAAACTATTGGGGTAGATTAGAAATGGTTGCACAGTTTGTGGTTAAACGGAAACAACAGGTTAGAACGATACCACGTGGGACAGGAATCCAGTAAAAACTGCAAGATAGAATGTTCCAACTTGAAAAATTCTCCAAGAGGGAATATTTTCACGGAGGTACGGGTGTTGGGGGATTGGTGGGGGAATAGTCCTTGTTGGAATTTAATTTTTCGAAGGTCATTCCATGTTAGACAGTTTACTGTATTAGGTCAACGACTTACCATTTCCAAACTTCAACCTCCTCCTCTTCCTTCTTCTTCTTTCGTGGACTGGGAGTTGAGCTTTCGGTTTTTGGAGGTTTTGCAGCTTTCTTCTTGGACTTCTAATTAACAACAAATTTCATTGATAAAGTAATTAATAATTGTAGTAAGAAGACTGATTCTGCAGCGAGGTGTAAACAGATTATTTTGTCAATATCTTTGGAAATAACAAATCAGGGAAAAAATTCTGAATTAATTTTGTATTGACAAATGAGGCAAAGTGAAATGGTTCTCATTGACTCAAAATCTCAATATTTTTGCGTATAATCAAAGATGTCAAGATTTAAAATCGATCAAAAACGTTCCACTTTGCCCAACTCTCCTCAACTGTATCAAGTTTTACAAAAGTCCCTTGACTTCTTTTTTTATCTCCATAACCGTCTCGCATATCTACGTTCATATGAAACATTCTATTCTCATTGTAAAAATATTTCACAAACACACACAACCTATAGGAGATATTAGGAAAATGATTAATAAATAACCCTTCATCACTTCATTACAGAATTCTCAGTTGATAAAGAAAATGGTAACATTAATGACAATTACCTTCTCAACAAAATCATCATCCTCATCATCATTTTTTCTCTTTTTCTTCTTTTTACTTTTATCCGATTCCTTCTTAACTTTCTTTCTTGCTGACAACGGAACCTCATCTTCATCACTACTGTCTACTTTTCTCTTAACGCTAGGTGAAGATGTGGATCTTCTTGAAGCCTGAAAGACCGAAATATCGATTACTCTTCAATTCACTTCGTACGGAAACATGTAGCCCGATTTTTTAAAATATCTCGCAAGCCACCAGATATCCAAATTTTCATAAGAATTTTCTTTCTACAGGATAAACTCTAGCCACATCTACTTAAGGAGACTCAACTTATCCCACTTGACCCCCGCACTACGAATATATTCAACTTGAAAATTATTTACAAGTTTCCTCTTTGAGTCTAAGAAGTGGACAAGATTACAGCAATCTACACTCATAATTTTACTTTTTCTATTTTTAATCAATCAAAAAATAATTAAAAGAAGGAAATTAAAGAAAAAAAAGAAGGGAAATAAATTGTGCGGTTAAGTGACAGAAATTTAGTCATTGCGATTGAAAAAAAATGAATAACCAAAACAATGGATTTCACTACCAGAGGAATATCCTCCTCGGATTCCTCTTCAGTTTTTAGAGTAGTGTTATGTAGTTCAGATAATCTCGGATTATTGCCATCATCAGTCGAATTTTCCTGTTTGTATTCCTCATCCTCCTCTTCCTTGATATAAAGTTCATTTTCATCACTGCTATTCCCATCATCCTCTGCATCTAGCTGCGTCAGTGATTCATCCTTGATCTCCAGTTTAACCTCATACTGCTGATTATAACTAACACTTTGATGATTGAACTCGTCAGTCTCTACCTTAATCTTGGGCTCGTCCTTCCTCTCCTTATCCTCCCTATGCTTACTTCTCTCTTTGTCCTTGTCATGACGATGCTTGTCCTTTTCACGATCATGACGATGACGGTCTTTATCCAATCGAGCTTTGTCCTTTTCGATGGACGAATAGGAATTAGAGTGACGTTCCTTGTCCTTCTCAGAGGAATGTTTACGATCTTTATCCTTGGAGGATGATTTATCCTTATCCTTGTCATCTTTTGAGCTGTGTCGATGCTTCTCCTTATCCTTATCTTTGCTTCTCGAGTTCTCCTTGTCCTTGGAATTCGAACTTGAATGGTGTTTAGATTCTTTAGAGCTCTCCTTGTCCCTAGAACTTGAAGATTTGTGATGATGGTCTCGACTTTTTTCTCGCTCCTTGTCTTTGGTCGATGATGAACTCTTGTGCTCACGTTCTTTATCCTTATCTCTGCTTGATGATGATGATGATGACTTCTTTTCTTTGTTATCTTTGTCCTTATCCTTGTCTTTGCTAGTGGAACTCCCTGATCCATGTCTGTCTTTGTCTTTACTACTGGAACTCGAGCTGTGTTTGTGACGTTCCTTATTTTTGTCACGGTGCTCACTCTTATGACTCTTGTCCTTGTCACTGCGGCTGCGATCCTTGTCACGATGTTCCGATTTGTGGGAGCGCTCTTTAGTACGGTGATCACTCTTGTGATCTTTACGACTTTCGTAACCGTTCGATATTCCATTCATGTGGGCATCTGAAATGAGAAAAAAAAATGTAAAGATTAAAAATTAAAAATGAAGAATTTAAAAATGTTGAATATTTTTTCTCCATATTGTTCCAAGTCGAGACGTTGAGGAAGATCATACATTAATCTTTTTAATATATGAGGAAAGATTATGATTAGAAATTAAGATTTCTTGAAAGAGAGAGAGAGATTCCAAAACCTACTCGGAGTTTTTTTTGTGGTTTTTTCCCCTAAAATCACTAAAAATTTGCGGGCGGCTGTATCTTCGACACAGCTGTAATTGTACGTGGATACGTCCACGGCCTTTCCTTCTTTCTCAAATCTCCTAGAAAATTCTTATATTCCCTCGAATTTTCTAGAAGTTCCTTGAATTTTTTCGAAATTTCAAGAAACTTCTCAAATTACCTCGAAATATCTAACATTTTCTAGAATTCTAATAGATGGCGCTGCACATAAGGACCGTTTCCCAAAATGATGCCCCATATTGAAACCACAGACGTATCCACATCAACAATCCCTCCGTTAAAAAAGATTTCATATTGGATTCAATTGTTGGATTATAAGCAATGATTGAGTTAATAGTATATTTCGATACAAGTGTGAAGTTGGCGCTCCGAGGGGAGGCCGAGGGCTACCAATCACATAAGTTGAAAATGCCCATCTCACATGTGTCGCACTAGTATATTTCGATACAAGTGCGACACCCCGTCGCACGTGTATGCGAACTATATTTTTCATCACGCTGTGACGAAAAGTGAACTTTTCGGCACGCTCCGCGTGCCTAAAAGTCCAATTTCCGCCACATTGTGATGAAAAATATTGTTCGTAACTCGTGAAAAAATGTTTTTTAGCTCGTGGGATTATATCACTCGCCTTCGGCTCGTGATATAAACCTCCCACTCGCCAAAAATAGTATATTTCAGCACGTGTGGGGCAATATCGTCTTTAACGTGTGTGGGGTTTACAGCATGAGCCGAAGGCGAGTGACGAAAAGAACAAAGACGAAATTGCCCCACACGTGCTGAAATATACTATTTTGACACTGCTGCTACGTTCACCTCGTGTCGAAAAGTGCCTTTTCGTTTACTCGTAAACGAAAAAAGGCACAGTTCGCCACTCGCTGAACGTAACATCACTGTCAAAAACTATTGTTCGACACATGTGAGACAGGAATTTTCAGCTCGTGTGATTGGCAGCCCTCGGCTTCGCCTCGGGCCGCCAACTTCACACTCGTGAAAATTCTGTCTCACTCGTATCGAAATATACTATTTTGCACTCGTTACGAAATATACTATTTCATCACAATGTGGCGGAAATTGGACTTTTAGGCACGCGGAGCGTGCCGAAAAGTTCACTTTTCGTCACAGCGTGATGAAAAATATTTTTTGACAGTGATATTGCTTTCAACGAGTGGCCGAACTATGCCTTTTCCGTTTACTTGTAAACGAAATAGTATTTTCATCACAAGGTCCACAAAGTATTTTCTGACGAATGTGATTATAGGCCTCGCCTTCGGCTCGGCCTGTAAACTACACATTCGTTGAAAACGAAATTTGTGCCGTTGTACTCTAATGTACTATTTTAACACTGCTGCTACGTTCATCTCGTGCCGAAAAGTGCCTTTTCGTCAGAAGGCCCGTAAACCGCGATCTAACCGAGTGAAGCGAGGTTAGAATCGCGGTTTACCGGGCCTTCTGACGAAAAGGCACTTTTCGGCACGAGATGAACGTAGCAGCAGTGTTAAAATAGTACATTAGAGTACAACGGCACAAATTTCGTTTTCAACGAATGTGTAGTTTACAGGCCGAGCCGAAGGCGAGGAATGCTGCGCGAAGCGCAGCGTGCGATAAACTCGACTTATTGCACGGCGGACATAAACAAAATTATCTAAGCCTAAAATGTCATGTTTGCATTAAATCATTCAACTCGTTCCGTTGATTATCTCATTGATTCGGTATGTTAGGGGAAATTATCAAAAGACCTTTCTTGTAAGAAAAAAAATATCTCCAACTTAAAAGATCTCGTGCATGAATACCAAACTCAAAAAAAACCGTATTTTGCAATTGTTCCATCTTTTTCCGACAACTGAGAATTATGAAAAATGAATGGATCGACAGGAAATAATGGTGAATTTAAATAATTCAGGGTCTTTAGCCCCTCACCGCCTCTAGAACATCGAGAGAGCATCATGCGAACGCAAGCACGTGTCCCAACTAGAGTTCATGTCTATCCCCCTCCCACTTGTTCTCCTCCATTCTATATCCCTTACGTACATTGGTGGTAATACAAGTCAAGACATTTCGTCCCCTTTTTATTCTCTCTTTACTCTTCTGTCTCAACTACGGCGTCTCTTATGCTATAGGCAAGTGGTATTGATGCCTCCTTACCTCCATGATTCCCGGCCGCACTGCTATTCTCCTTGGCCCCTTTCTCCTATGGTAAACAATGAAAAAAGGCTCAATTTATTATTCAAGGTTATCTGGACTGTTTGCAAATGTTGAAGGGTGGATGGAGAATTTTTCATTAATGAAAAAAATTAATAATAATGAAAAACAATGTGACGAAGAAAACTAGTGGGCTCAATATAACATACTCTGGAAACTGTACGGGGGGACTTAGTCGCAGACGCCATTTTGGGACTTAGAAAAATTTCGCGTCCCCTCGACGTGCCGTATTCAAGTGATAAGCGACGTAACTGAGGTGTTTTGAGGATTTCTAGTCACCTAAAAATGTTTTTTATGAGGAATGGATGAGATATCTGTACTTACGGTGTCCGCTTTCGGCCGATTCGGGGTCTCCTCAAGCTCCATTTCAGCACGTATCGGAACTTAGAATTTTTCGAGTTTTACCTCACAACCCAAGACAACCTGATAGACTCTGCGTAGCGTACAGAACAGAGCAGCTAAGGCCAACGTAACGAAGGGGACACGAGCGCTCAAGCTGCGTCTAAGTGTCCATTATGGTACAATGCGCATGCGGCTAATAGGCTCCGCCTATTTCAGGCAAAAAATTGTCGTGAACTCTTTTAGACACAAAAGGAACATATTTTACTACGTACATTTTTTTTATTATAAAACAATGAAGTTGCAAGCTGGCCATTTCTTCATTACGTAGGAAAAACAATTTTTCATTTTAAATTTATATAGTTTATTTTGGATAGAATTTTTCTCATAAATTCATAATGAAAGAATGAGAATTTTCAAGCTCTTGAGTGTTAAAAATATGTATAAAATATAGCCCTAAAAGGAGTTAAAACTACCATGTGGAAAATTTCATCAATTCCAATTCCAAACTTCCAATTTTTGGATTCATCTCAGACACATAAAATTTCATTGAACGTGGTAAAATAATTTTGAAAAAGACAAATTGAAAATGCATACCTTCATTTTGCATATATCTAGTAAACCAATCATTTTCGCGAAATTTGTGAAAAAAACATTTTTCTATACCTCTTGGAATTTTCTTTATAAAAAACACTCAGTCAATAAGTTCCCTCGAACTTTTTAGAGTAAAAAGGGTCGAATTAACAACATGATAGAATAAAATAAGTCGTCTTCAATGTAAAAGTGAAAAAAACGCATTCTCCCACTAGTACAATCCATTAGGATGAATTATTGAAAGATCTAAACAAAGATCTTTTGACATCTTTCTTTTACGCATTATCGAAATAATTGCGAATATAACAAACGTATTATTGTTGACTTGTTATGTTTAAATCAAACCTTCCTAAATTCTGATTATTCAGTTACTATAAAAAATAATAACATAGTGAGCGATACGCAGACATACATTTCACTTTTATATGGAAAATTTCAGTGTAAATTGAAAGGGGAGAAGACTTTAAAAGTGACTACATTCGAAATTTATGAGATAAAATGATATTCCCCATCTGAAAGTTTCCAGATAATTGTACCTCCCAGAGACCTTCCCCACCTCGCCTCTTGTCCCCAACACATTCTCCCCCTATTAATCTTACTATCAACATCACAATAAAGACATTCACGCAGATTACATCTTTTACGGTTTTTCTTTATTATGTTTCACGAAAATCTTCAAATTTTTTACATTGGAAATATCTTAATGCCATTCACGTCCTTCACAAAATACGAAAAATTTATTTATAATACAATTAATTCCGTTCACTCTGCATTTCTCACTTAACAGGTAAAAATATGAGTCTAAACACATTATTTCTTTAACACTTTCGACTTTTCATCTTCGTTCTTCGCTGTTTTATTCTTCTTATTCTGAGTTTTTGTTGTAACAAATCGTCTTAAATTACAGTTTGGAATACTCGGGCTTCCCTTCTGAATTCCACGTTGTCCTCATCTTTTGAAAAGCAACCACTGCGTATAATGCTGGAATAAATGAAAATGCATAAGGAGAATGAGTGAATTGTTATAATCATGACAAGAGTTATGAAAAAATGGTAGCCGTCAAGTAAAATATGAAATCTTTATTTATAATGCATAATTTTAGCAAAATCTACTAACCAAAAGAAGTTTCTCAACATTTTATTTTCAAGTAAATTATTACCAGTAATTCAGCAATTAATTGTACTACATAAGTTGAAAAATTCGGATTGTCCTATGAGTCTTTCAATCACATAACTATGTAATATTCTAACTTGAAAAAACTTACAAGTCGCTTCCCACTCTGAGTGCGATAATGTCCCAATTTTCCTGTGCCCAGTAGAATTTTGCATGTACTGGACAGCGTGCAGATAATCTCCTGGGGCTTGTCCAAGAAGTGGTGCTTCATGGTAAGGTGGATAAGTCTCCAGTGCCTGCATATTGCCTAAAAGTGATCGGCCCTCGTTCTTCATACGATTATAAAACTCATCAAATCTGTGAAACAAGTCAAAGTATTAAATTTTATAAATTTATTGGGTTATTAGGAAAGCTGTAGAATTATCAGGCAAATGAGTGAATTCTGAAAAATTGCCACAACTTGGAATTTTTCACAACTTGAACTTTGGAATTTTTATTTTTAATATTTTCATTCAACATTGCTTGCTTTGAAAATGAAAAAAAAATTGATGGCCAATTCCATAGATTTCATGTTTGCTTACCTTTCGAATAAGACCATCTCTAGACCATATTTCAAAGCGAGTTTTTTTAAAAGTGGTAAAAATACAAGAAACTCCGGACAATCAACAACTCCTTCGAGATGGAAATTGTATTTAGCACCAAACAATGGAATGTTTTCTTTTTCGATTAAAAATTCAACGCTGAAAATATCATTTCCAAATTTGTTTCCATCAATTTTCTTCCATCGTGATCTGAATAATAAAATTAAACAATTAGTGATGAACAGAAAACACAATACTCAATCGGCGAAAAAAGAAAAGTTGTAAATTGACATTTTTTATAGGAGCTCTTTTTCATTACAAAAAAATCATGGACAATGAAAACATCTCTAGACGTATGTATACCTGGTAGCCGAAAGTGACAGAATCGAATTTTCAATATTATTATGAGCTAATTTTAAACGTTTCCAAAAAAATTTCCGCTAATACAGTTTTGGACAAAAATAGCGTTGCTGCTAGTTTACCGCAGGTTAGCAGAAAGAGGACTCTACAAAAACTGAAAAACCAAAAAGAACAGAAAAACTAAAAAATTGAAAGTTAAAAATCCCTGACAGAAAAATTTTCAGTTGACTTAATTAAAAAATGAAAAAGTGTTAAATAAAAAAACTAAAAGCTATAAAATTGAAAATTAAAAGCCCCGACGGAAACACAGAGTCACGAAAATGTTGGTATTCCCCCGACTTTTGCTGCTGTTTCTTCTATTACAAAAGAAAATTTTGAGCTTTGGTTTTGTTCGTTTTAAGCGATTCAAGGATAACTTTTTCGTCGGGGATTTTTAATTTTCAATTTTTCAGTTTTTAAATAAGTCAATTGATAATTTTTTCGTCGGGGGCTGTCAATTTTCTAGTTTTCAGTTTTTTTACCCTTTCCTGCATAATTTAATTCTTTGATTACTCTAAAGGTGATTATCCTCAATTTGAATCTTTCGCGCGCAGTATCGTAAGAATGAACGAAATTTTAATGCTACCAATCCATTTCCGTTTTCGTTTGCTAGGGAATTACGGTTCAATCTAGTCACCTTCATCGAATCATTTTTTTTATGCACACTTTTTAGAAAAACGGAATAATTATTTAAAAAAAGGGTTTCGTAGTTCGATTCCTCAGAGTGTTTTCATCATTTGTAATACAAAAACTCATTTTTTCGAATTGTTGTTCATGTAGTTTCGCCTGGACAACGACGTTGCAGAGTTAGGTTACCGAGTGTCAAAAGCATATACCCCTCCCTTTAGTTTGACGTCTGGGGTAAAAATGAGGAAAAATTGATTTTTGATATCGGATAATTTAAACCTCATCAACTAAATTTTTCTCAATTCAAAAAAAAAAAAAAAAGAAAAACAAAATAAAAAATTAATAGAGAATGATTATTTTTTTAATAGAAGGATGCATTTGCACGCTTATGAACAAAAATCATAATTAATTGAATCTCATTTATAAGAATGGACGCAATCTCAGTTTTCCGACTGCATAATTAAAAACTTATTAGCAGCTAATTTTTTATAATTCTAAAATTTGTCATGTTTATGCTTTTTGGAGAAACAACGGTATTGGTGTTTCTTTCCTCGAAACATAGGGGGCACTCGGGCAAATGAAATAGTCGAAAAACGACTGACCAGAGATTATAGGGGAGATGAGCAGGGCCAATGTAAAGTGTTCAACAGCAAAATTCGTAGCGGTGGCGCATGGACTACGATGGAGCGTACGGAACTGTTGGTATGGTAGGGCCCGAGCATAAATTTGTCGATAACCGGAAAGGGGTTCTCAATACGGTAGCTCCTCGCATTTGGTAATAATTGTCAGGGATGTAAAATCGAACATATTATAATCAATAGTATAATGAATGCAGAATCTAATGATCTAAAAGTCTTTTCCTTTTTCTCGACATATTTATTATTGACACGTAGGTCAAAAAATTCATAGAAAATCCCAGTACTGTCGCTGGAAAACTCTATAATNGACTCCCACTCATTGGCGTCTCCGTCGGGTTGGCACGTGCCCGTCCTCCGCCAAACTTAACGAGTGCGGATGAGAAAGAAAATTGAGAAGAAGGAGAGAGAAATCATTCCAACTCGTTTGAACGGTTGGAACGTTTTCGCTGTTCTCCAGCGATCTACACATAATGGGATTAATTCAATAATAATAGATTAATGAATAAGATTTTTCGCAGATTATTGCGAGATTTAGATGAATGGTTTGCCTCCTTCAGTGACCATAAAAAATTGTCTCCAATCGACAATATCTCCCGATGGAATGGAACGATGTGAATGAATCAAGTATCAATTTGAATCTTTAAAAAATTAATCGAGAGTGAAAAAAAATCAGGGAATTCCACTCTGACATTTCTCTATTATCTGTATTTACCGAGAAAAAAAAACCTTGTTCCTAGGAATCGATGCGTCTTTTTTAGGCAGCTGCATTTCAGAAATGCAATGAGCAAGCAATGATAAAATTAAGTCATTTTGTAAAAAATTTCCAGTGACATGATCCTGAAAAT